CTTCTCCCCACCAGGATGGGGAAGCTGACAAGGCTTTTTTTTTTCCCTCGTGAGGGAGGAATGGACTGTCCCTGTTACAGTGCTCCAATGTTCAGACATTTTTCCAAAGAAAAGGGAAGACTCTCTGCTGAGACTTAGCAGTCTGGGAACTTGGATAAGCAGGGGAGAGGCTCTACTTTCAGGGCTGCCTGGGGCTCCTCTCTTTCCATGCCTCCGAGTCTCCAAAACAATGCGCTATAGGTGCCTTCTTTGCCCTTTAAGATCTCCATTACCTGACAATTTGCTGAGCAGTGGTGGGGAAGGGGATGTGGGATCAAGATCTGTGATTAACACAAAACATACTTCTTTTTTATCTTTTTTAGAATGTTAAACATGCTTACACTATAGTTGTTTTGGGGTTGTTCTATTATCTCTAGTTCTTAGGGGTATTAACTGTCCTGTATATTGCTTCTGCTAACTCTCCCTCATGATAGTTTGTATTCATATGAGGTGTGTAATTTTTTATAGTGAGCTCATCTTTAGTGATGGGTTTTTTTTTTTTTTCTGTGGGAGTCCCATGTGCCCTGGATTGTAGAATGTCTCTGCAAGGAAGGTTTGCCCTTGTTCCTGCTGGGGTTTCTGAGTGGGTTACTATCCTAGACACATTTTTATGTAAGTTCTTAGCTGGGGGTTCCTGCCACATCCTCATGGTATAAATTTGGACTCAGCGTCAGGCTTGGGGGTCTCCATTTCTCATGGAGACGTTATTTTCCCTCCCTTGCTTTCCTGAGCACCTGGGATGGGTTTGTGTGTTTCCCATGCATAGATAGCGTTGTCCTGCTCCATCCCTGGCTTTACTCAGGGGAATGCTGACTTCTAGTTTCCTGCTTCTTTGGGGCCCAAGGTCATCTTTTCTGTCTGGTGTGTTACAACCCCAGCCTCCCCCAATTAGGGTCTGCCTCCAGTGTGATGCCAGCAGCCTTTCAATCTGCTCTGGCTTTGGGTCTCCCTCTATTTCTTGCACAAGATGGTGAGGTTTGGTTGTGTGGTAGAATTCTCATTGTTACATTTATCCAGCTGTGTTTTGGTGAGTTTAGCCTGCCTTGTTTCTAGATATCAATCTCATTCCTCTATAACCCCTCCGGGACTAAAATGAGGATGGCGAGGACTACACTTGCACAAAGCTCTCCCAGTGCTCGGCAGTGAGCCTCACCAGAGGCCAGTGAAGCCTGCTCACTTGGTGCAGCAGCTCTGGAGCCTGGTGCATCCCTCGGCTTCTAGAGTGAGCATGGAGAACCACTGTACCATCCCCGACTTCCTCCAGCACTGTCTCGTTCCATTTGGGCTCCAGGGCAGGGAACCCGCTCTCATTATCAGGGTGGATTTTTGCCAGGTGAAGGGACTCTCAGAATTCTCAGAAGCATCTCCAAGTGACTTTGGGACTCCTGAAACTAGTATTCATCTTATTCTCCCAGATTAACATCACTGCCAAGGTCCCTTCTACGGCTGCAGAGCTGGCCAGGCACAGGAAGGGAGGAGTCAAGGTGAGGAGGCTATGAGGAAGGCGGGGCTCTTTTCTACCAGTGACAGGCGACTTGAAGGCACCAGCACACAGTTGGAGTCAGAGTCCTCACTGAAGAGGCCCTGACCCAGAGGCCTGCGGGACCGCTGAGGGGTTGATGGCAGCCCACTGTGGGGTCCTTTGGAAGGGTAAGAAGGAGGTAGAAGGTACCAGCCACAGCCAGACAACCTGAGGAAGCCTGGGGCCAGAGTGCCCCCCACCCACTCTCTCATCTAGTTGGTCCCTTTTTCCTTATCACTCAGGAGAGACTCGGCTCCGTTCCAGACCAGCAGCCTAGAGCAGTGGGCTGGAGAGAAGAGACGCTGCTGAGCTAGAGCAGCCCGGCGGCGGAAGGGAAAGTGGGTGATAAATTTAAATAACCAGCTTGACTTGGCAGCTTGCTGAGTTGTGATGCAGTGAAATTAAAATCTCGGCAGAACTTGCAAACACTACTCAGAAAAATCAGTTTCTCTCCTTGGTTCCGTGAGAGAAGGTGGGGAGGGGAGGCTTTGGGGCCGAGCCCCGGCCTCTGGCAGCCACCCTTGCCTGCAAAGTGATTAGCTGTGTCCTGGCCCACTGGGCCCCACTCTCCCCTCTACACAATAGTCCAGGCTCCTCTCTCCTCTCAGTCCTGACCTTGTGGAACAGCTGTATCAAGTGGCTGGTGAAGTTTGAAATCAGCCTCCAGTGCCAGGAGGTGGCAGGAATATCAATAAGGTCAGGTTGAGCTAGGGCTTCCTGGGCTGGTTTCCTCAGGACTCATTCCCAAAGGTTTGCAGCCTCAGCTGCCTGTCCCTGGGGAAGAAGATGAGCTGGGGGTTTAGGATGTGGGGGATGAAGAGGGCTCCTTGAACATCTTGGCACACTCAAGCCAGGCTGTGGCCACAGGATGCCCTCCTGCTCTCTCACCTGTAGCACATACCTGGCCAGAATCACCTGCCGGAAAGTGCCTCCCCTTTTCCTCCTCCACCAAAGCCCTTCATACTCTCCAACCAAATAAGCTCTTAAAGAATCTTGGAGGGCAATTTTTACAAATACACCAAAAGCCCCTCCCATATCCCAGCTATTCTTGGAGCCCAGTTCTAGGTGCCAACATCTTTCTAGAGAATCTCACCTGAAATCCACCTCTCTGGTCTGCTCTCTACATCACTGCTCACCACTACCCGCAAACTCCTGGCCCGAAGGCTAATGTGCTGGACCCATTCCTGAGATGATCCATGAAGCCTCTGGGCACTGCCCTGTTTCTCACCCTGACAGTACCTCCAGCAAATTCTGTTCATCCCCATAATAAACACATCATGAATCATTCATCTTTAATAGATTATGCAAATTAGGAAGACGTAAAATCAACAAAGATCAATAACTGCAGCCATTTAATTGCCAGCAAAAACATTTTAAGAATGAGCATAATCTGTAGCCCTTTCTCGGGTAATGGCACCATTAATCCAAACATTGGATCTTGGCCTAAGCGTAGAAAAATCATTCCCTCCCCCCTCCCCCCTCCCCCCACCCCTCCCCCACTTCTCCACACACTTCTCTCTTTTTGGTAATTTCCAGTTTCTGAGCAAGTTTCCCTGTCATTACCACTGGTGAACAGCTCCGAATGTTAATGGTTCTGCTTTTGTTACTCCTGGCTTGATTGAAATGTCGCATACAGATTGAGATGTTAGTGCTAACTTGCCACCTGGGAATGTCAAGCTGGGTCTGAAATGAACTTTTCTCACACTTGGATCCAGATGGATCAGCCGGAGATGTTCCCAGGCTGAGCTGGGACCGTTCCAGGGCCATGGGGGGGAGGCGGGCGGGGGATGCTCAAGGTGGAGGCACTTTTCTGCACCAGCCTGAGTTCTCCTGCTGCAGGAACCCTACCACAAAGATCCTTCTCTCCACCCCAGGAAGCCTCTGCCTTCTAGACTGTGGCCCTGGGCCCAGGGAAGCACAGTTGGGGTTAGAGAAAAGTCTCCTGGGCTCTGTTTTGCTGCTGCCTGGGGTGGGCCACTTTTGGGAGGTGACCAGTGTGACTCTCAGCAGATCAGGAGAAACATGGCCTGGCCTGGACCATCACTCTTTCTTGGGTCAGAACACCCACAGCTCAGAGAGCTTCCGAACCGGGCTATGGAGGGTTCTTGCCGAGGGCCAGTTGATCATAGGCTGTATCCTGACCCAGCTTATGTTGTCACTCCCAAAAGCCCATCTAGGTCTCCGACACTTCCAGAACTCAACCTCTGATTGCCTAGCCAAAGAGCTCGACTCTGTCCAGGCCGGAAACAGCTGTACCAGGATACCCCTTAGGGAGAATCTGGGAAAGCTAACAACAGGGCTCTCCCAAGCCCCCCAGGTGGAGGCCAGGTGGCCACTCGCAGCCCATCTCAGACCTGAGCCGTGCTCAGAACAGCTCCAAGTCAGAACCAGTGCGCTGTCCTCCAGTGGGGCCATGCCCGCTCCCTGCCTTTGGTGACGCTGGCTGCTGCCAGGTCCCCAGGCCGCCTCCGCTCGCCTTGTCGGCAGGTAACGCCTCAGTGTCTCCCAATCACCACCAAGACCCTTCTCAATCATTCTTTCTCCCAAGGAACAAACGGCACATTGGCTTTAGTGTCTCCAGAATAATTAGGTGAATTTTAATAACACCTCAATGTGTGTCTCTCCCACTTGGGCACTTTCCTGGCCCGGAAACCCTTCTGCAGTGCCAGCCGCCTTCCACAGCCCTCAGCTCTGTGGCCTGGAGCTTCATCAGCTGGGCTCTACACTGCACTGCACCTCAGCCTTCTTCCCCTCTAGCTGCCTCCGCTGCTCCTCCCTCATCCATGCCAGCACCTGGATTGGGTGCCCCCTCCCCCTGCCTTTTGACTGAGGGACAGGCCGGACCCTGCCTGGCCTTGAAATCAAGCCTTGGTCTTAGTGATTTCTCTGGGAAGCTGGAGAAAGGCTGAAATAATTGAGCTTACCTATAACCACATGGCCAGATGCCACGCTCTGAAGCCCAAAGCCACAGCTTTGGAACACCAGGCTGCCCAGAGGAGAGGAAAGCAGGTCCCCCAGGGGCCTCGGGGACACAGGAGTGTGGAGACTCGACACTGGGCACTCATGCTCCACTCTTGCCAGCCCGGCCTATTTGCCCTCATTCTCCTGCACACATCCTAACAAGAGGCTCATAATTCCGGCCACCTTGGTGGAGGCAAGAAAAAAGGCAAAGGAAGAGGCAACAGGATGGGCAGAAAGAACCAGCCCTAGCCCTTCCTGGCTTTGACATTTCCAGGCTGGAGCGTACAGAGACCCTGACCACGGTTTTTTCTCCCACATCTGCACACATCTGTTCAGGAAGCACCCTGGTTTCTGGAGACTCACTCTCTCTACAGAGATCATGGCAGGGAGCCCGCTTGTCACGCTGGGCCCCAGATGGCATGGGCTGAGGTGCCCCCCCACTGAAAGCAGTTTCCCACCCTCCTGGAAGCCCCCTTACCGGTCACAACGGGGTATGTCTGCGTGCCCGACACGTTGCTGCCCAGCTCGGGGTTGGTGGATGCAGATAGACTCGACTTGACTTCATCAAGCCCAGGGGTCAGTGCTGGGAGGGAGTACTCGTTCCCCTGGGAGGAGAGAGAAAAGAGACAGCTCACTATTGACGTACACATGCGGAGAGAGGGCTTGGTGTGCAGATGGGGAGGAGGAACGGGGAGCCCTCCCAGATGGGGTGGAAGGAGATGGCCAGGCAGAGGGCGGGGAGTGTGGGAGGGGCGGGCTCGATGGATGATGGAGAGTTGTGCGTGGGTGGGGGCAGACCTGACTCTGGGAAGCTGAGGTACAGCCTGTACATTCTCAGTGGGCACCCCAGCACCCTTTACATCTCTGTAGCATCTCTTGTCTAAGAAGCCCCAAAGGCGGGGTTTAGCAGTGGGAATCCCCCTGCTGAGAGGCAAGTGGTGTTCTAAGGTCCCCCGGGGGTAGGGAGTCTTGGGGAGGAGGGGCGAACCCTGACATGATGGCAGAGGCAGTAGCTGGGGGAAGGGCCTAGTGGGGCCTCGAGCCTGGCACTGCTGGGCTGGCTGACCGGGTGCTGGAGCCCCTTTTTAAAAAACAAACAAAGACTGCCTCACGGGCCCCTCGCTCTCTGCCTGTGCACTGGGGTATGAAATTGGGGAGGGGGAGAGTCCACATGGCTAACAGAAGGGTGGGAGGGGGCCAGTCATTGACTCTGAAAGGGTGTCCTGCCTGAAACACTCGGGTAATTGCCTTTTTATTGCAGCCACCGCCAAGCCAGACCCCAGAGCTGGGCTGACCAGGAGCCCGCACGAAGCAGGAAAAGTTGCTCTGATTAATATTATGTTAAATTAAAACTGATTTTCTGCTCTTTCGGGTCCGTTTTTTTTCCCTTCCGCTTCCTGGCCCCCCCAGAGGGCCCCCTCCCCTCCCTGGCTGGACAGGATTGCCTCGTCATTTCCAATTCCTTCTCGTATTGATCTTCCTGTAGAAATCAGTTTTGTAATTAGCTGCAAATTAGGCCTTCTACTGGGGGTGAAGCTGCCCCCTGATTTATCACCAGAGTAATTCGCTGTGATCGGAGAGAAATTAAAATGAACTCAATTAGGCTTCGGATTTGCTTTATGGGCCCTGCTCCGAGTTTCAGGGGGAAAAATGACTGTGCTGGTGTTTAATAGTCTAATGAAAGTAAATAAAGGTTATTCATTGTAATACAGCCGGGGACTCGGGGAGGGTGCACCAAGCCGCCCGCCTCCGCCGGCTCCTCCTTTGTTGGTTTATGGCTCAGGGCACCTTAAAAAGACTTTTGATTTTTGTTTTATGAAGACAAACAGCTTACGGGATAAAAGGACGGGCGGGGAGAAAGGCGAATGGCTGGGAGCTGTCGGAGTCCTAGAGTGGAACTGCGCTGCGCAGTCTGTGCGGTTGCGCTGGTGCGTGTGGGTGTGTGCCCGAGTGGGCACACGTGGCAGGCTGTGCTGTGCTGAGGCCGTGGGCCTGGCCTGGGCTTTAGTGGGGGGGGATGGGTGTGTGCTCACGCGTCGGAGTGTGTACACAGGGGGCTGTCCTGGTGTGTGCATGGAGGCAGGCGTGGAAGTGCGCTGAGCTGGTGGTCTGTGGGGCGTGCACACCTACTGGCTGAAGGGCTGTGCTGTGAGTCCTGTGGGCTGGGCGGCGGGTGGGCAGCAAGCAGGTGGGTGGCGGTGGTCTGTGAACACGTGCACACAGGTGAATGGGAGCAGTTAGGAGATGTGTTTCTATGCTGTGTGATGTGCTGGTGTGTTGTGGGCTGCATCCCGTGCTGTGTGTTCTGGGTTGCTCTTCATCTGTGGGAAGTATTGCGTCTGAGGGGTAGGCTGTCAGGAGGTAGGCACAGCGGGCTCACCTCCTGACGCCCCAGGCTTACTCAGACTTTCTGTAGGACCCTAGGGGCATTTAGGCAAGGGACGTTCCTGAGTACTCTATGCCAGAAGCACAGAATGGCAGGGCTGGAAACGACCTGTCAGATCATCTGTCCAAGCCCTTCATTCTACAGACGGGGAAACAGGATAGAACTGAAACTGAAATGGGATTAAGATTTACCTACAGCCATACTCGCGCCCAGAACTCACCCTTTCTAACTACCATATACTATGACGATTTTCTTAGCTCTGCTATGATGTCCCTGTGTGAGCGTGTTCACACAGCGCACCCAAAGGCAGCACACACGATGCTGGGTGTGCGTGTGGCTGACCCACGTGTGCACGTCCTCCGGAGGCCTTGCTCTGCCCAGTCCCTTTCCACTTCTGCAAGCAGAAAGCTTCTTCCTCACCTGCTCTGATTTGATGTGCTCTGATGCCTGGAAGACGTCAGGGTAGGAAGGACGCTCAAAGACCCGATCCAAAGCTTCTAGCTGCTGCTGGGTGAAGGTGTCAGCTCGCAAGTGCTTCCGCAAACTGTCCACGCCACTCTGGGAATCTCCATTGGGGACTGAGCCCTCAGACACATCTGGAGGACACAGGGACACTCGGGGCATGAGTGCAGGTCAGCAGAGGCACACAGTGGGCAAAGATGACGGGCACCTGGCTCGGCCCCCAGGGCTTTGCACCCCTGCTGGGACCCCTTTTCCCCAGTTTTCAGGCTGGGAGGGGCTGGCCCAGGGGCTGGCCATGCCTCAGAGACCTGGCTGAGAGAGCCAGAGCCCCTGAATGTCCTGGGAAGAGAAAGGGAAGCTGTCACAACTCGGGGGCGTGGGAAGGACTAGGCAGAGGCCATCTCCCCAGGGCACGTCTCCCCTGAGCCCCTTCTGTCCCCCCCTCGCCTGGATTGGCCTGGGGAAGGAGCTGGGTGTCTTGGGCCAGCATTACCCAGCCTGTGGAGAATTGAACTCGGCTCTGAGATGAATTTCAGTTCCACTGACTCCAAGGGTGGAAAATCATCAAATCTCCGAGGCTGAGTGTAACATGGAGACTGGGTGAAGTAATTAACTTCACCACTGAGGGAGGAGGGACTCAGGGCCCAGCTGAGGCCCAGCTTGCGTTGTGCCAGGCCTGAGACTGGAGCAGACAGCAAGTGGCACGTGAGTCATGAAATGCAACCTGGGCAGAGACTGAAGACTGGGTCCCTGTAGATGCTGCTGTGCCCGGGCCACCCTCCTCAGCTTGTCCCTGACCTGGACTCTGGCGAGGCTCCGCCAGAGGCCAGCTCCTTGGCCGCCTGGTTCCTCCTGCAGTCTCTACAGGAAGCTGAGACTCGCCCCATGTATGAAAAGCCACGGTGCAGCCACAAAGTGCCCGCTCCCTGGGGCTGTAGGCCAGTCCTGTCTGTGTACTGCTCTCCCCAGGCCTCCCACCACTCTGCTACCCTTCCCTCCCTGGACCTGCCCTCTATCCCGGTCCACTGGGGTTTTCAGAGTTCACAGCGGGCCAAGTACCTGCTGTGCCTACACTCCCTGACCCCACACCCTGCAACTTCCCGGGCTCAAAGCTGGGTCCTCCCAGCCACAGCTTGGCCACTCCTTGGCTTCCCTAGCCCAAGACCAGCTGGGGAGCCTTCGGCCTGGGGCCAGCCCATGCTGTAGGCCCCAGGGTGTTCCTCTGGGACTGTTATATATATCAGTTTATAGGTGATTATACGATATGATATAATCAATATTGCATTATATACAGTAACACCGTACAGTATCATTCAGGAGAGCATAGAAAATATTACGTATTGATTAACCTCAACCTGCAGCCATCCCCTCTTGCTGGCCTCCCAGATGGAGCAAGGGGGTCTGCTTTCCTAATGGGACTTCCTGTCTTCACTCGATCCTGGAGGGGGTGGGAGAGCAAAGAAAGGGTGTGTGTGTGTGTGTGTGTGTGTGTGTGTGTGTGACAGAGAAAGAGAGAGAGAGAGAGAGAGAGAGAATGGAGACCAGGATCGTGCCTGAGGTGGACAGACAGACACAGGGACAGCCTTGATGATATTTCTATGTTCCCTATGTTCCTAAGGCCACAAAACTTGGTTGTTGTGTTTTTTTCGTGTAAGCTTCTGGAATGATTTTCTGTCTTAGAGGCAGTGTATGCATCTCTCTATATGAGTTAGGGTGTGACATATTTATTTTTCCCTTTTGTGTATTTTCTGTATATATGCATTTCTACACGAATAAGCATCCAGATAGATAAGCGTCTGGGAATGTGTAAGTGACAGTCCAGGAACCTTTCTGAAAAGGTGCATGTGTACGTGTGTGACTGCATGGGGAGTGTGAGCCCACGTGCCCCCGTGTTTCTTCTGTGCCTGCTTCTCTCTCAAGGATCTGCCATCATCTTAATGCTACCCCTTGGGGCTACTTGCATGTTTTATGGTGTCTAATTCTCTCTTGCTGGAGGCCTCCTACCTTTTTGGGAAACACTTCTGTCAGAGCAGAGGGAGACAGCGAGTGTCTTTGTGTGTGGTTACTGCAGTGTCACCAGTGAGTCCTGGCAAGTAAAGTGCATTTGTCTGCGAACATGGGCTCACGTTATGTGCGTGGGTGTGTGCATATGTGTGGTGAGACTCATACTATGCCTCTGTGTAAATTTGTGTATATGCCTGTGTGTGGCTTGGCCCAGCCCGCGCGCGCGCGCGTGTGTGTGTGTGTGTGTGTAGGGGCTGAACTGAAGCTTTGTCCTCAGGTCACTGGCTGGAGGAGTCTCTTTTCCTTCATTTATTCAGGGGCTCTTCAGATCTTGACAAATCTGTCACTCTAAATTTGCGAGAGATTATGGTGCTCTCTCCCCAGCCCTCAGAGAGGTGATATATGATATCTGCTGCCCCTATTGATTGCCTGATCTGGTGGCAGAGGCCGGCGAAATGAACTTGAAATGAACATCATGCCTCAACTCATTGTGCGTATAATACACTACTTAATCCCACATTTTTCAGCCGCTATGGAATTCAATTGATCAATCATGTTCCACTGATAGTACTGTTTTAGGGGTTATTGCTGCTCCCTCCACTCACTGACCTTTTTATTTATTTATTTATTTTTTGTATACTCAGGCCCTGGTGATAAAACAGGTTACAGAGGCAGCGATGGAAAGGGGGAGGGAGGAAGGAAAGGCAAAAGGATGGCTGCTACTGGAAGAGGTGGCCGAGGGTCCGCGGAAAGGGAGGAAGAGGAGAGGGAAGGGGGGTGGGGCAAGGAAGAGACAGAAGGTGCTAGAGGAGCAGAAAAGCAAACTAGTCTGATGCAAGCAGGAGAGAATCGCCAAGGGAGGCTGCAGGAGGCTTGAGGAAACTCCTCAAAGGAGAAGGAAGGTGATAGGGAGGTGGGAAAGGCAGCAGTCATGATGAACGGCGAAGGAGCACAAAGAAAGTTCTGGGGAACAGGGAGGACAGCCACAGGGGTAGGGAGACGGCAGTGGCATTACTGGTGGGGGACAGGGAGGCAGTGTCCCCCAAATCAGCCAGAGGGCCCACAGGCTCTCCCAGGCTCTCCCCAGAGGCCAGGGTGGTGCCCTTCCCTCAGCTAGAGAAGGAAGGGAGGAGTGAAGGCAAGGAGGAAGGGCGGGAAGGGAGTGAGGGAAGTAGGCCGGGAGAAGCCTGGGCTCAGAGGTCAAAGGAGGAGAAGCTCAGGGAAGAAGGAAGCCCAGAGGCAGAGGCAGGGCAGAAAGGGAGAGAGGAAGAAAGGGAAGAAGCTTCCTACACCAGACGCCTCAGGAAGCACAGGCTGGGCTGAGGGCCCTTGTTACAGGAATAACCCAGCTGGTTCTGCTTTTCCGGAAGCCTGTGTATCCAGTGAGGACGGTAGCCCGGGGCCTGGATGGGGGTGGGGTTGGAGGGTAGAGGTTGGAGGAGGAAAGAAGAAGAGAGTAGAGGAAGAGCAAAAAAGAAAAAAGAACATGGAAGAAGAGAATTGAAAAGGAAGAGAAAACGAAGCTGTTGTCAGTACCACCCACTTGCAGGGACCTACTCAGGAGATGGAGAGAGAGGGCTGCGTGGGCGGGCGGGTGCTTCCCAAGGTAGAGTCTCAGCGGTGGCAGCAAGGGAGAGGGATGGAGCTGGGCTATGAGACACTGCCAGGCCCAGGCACCGAAGGGCTCTCTGGCAGAGCTGGGCTAACATGGAGGAAGAGGCAGAAACAACTCCTGATCTGGGCTGCAGAGTGAGTAGCAAGGAAAGTAATTAGATAGCACCCACCCCCTTGTGCCAAGGAGCCAGGCTGGGAATTCCCTGTGGGCAGGAACCATGACCGGTGCATCTCTGTAGATCCAGCGCCAGGCATGGAGCTGGGCACAGACTTGATACTCAATGGATGAATGAGTGAATGAATGAATGAATGAACGAGGCTCTCCTGGGTGGCATTCAAAGCCAGACTACTGGCAGAAGGCCTCTGGACCAGCCACCTGGCTGGCTTAGCATCCCAGGACACCCAGTTACCTGTCAGGCAAGTCCCACACATCCTTAGCTGTCAGAGGATATGGGAAGACCCACGACAGGCCCCTGGGTAGACTCATGCCCCTTCTTCACCTGCCCCACTGCTTGTTAGCTTCCAACAGCATTGACTCTGGTCCACAGAGGCCCTTCCCACTCTCACCAACACCTTCCTGCCCACCTATGGTACTTCTACCCAAGGACAGAGCACACCGTGTTGCCAGTTAAGAGTGAAACTTAACCTTGGAGCTGCAGAACTGCCATCCAAGGCAGCTGGCAGAGGCTGCTTGAGAAGTGGGCCCAGAGATGGCCCCTATGTTGGACTCACCACACCACGGCCCTTCGCAAAGAGTAGGATAAAGTGGGTCTATCTGCTCATTCTTGGTTCCAGGGAAGGCCTTTCCTAAATGACAGAGCAGGCCCTCAGCCTTCACCTTGATGGGAAAACCAGCCCCTACCTTGTCAGGGCTCCAAGAGGAGGGCTGGAGTATGATGCCTCATGGCCTGGACTTTCTGGAGCAGTTCTGATTTCCAGTATTCTTTCCCACTCTCAGGCCACATTTTCAGATTGAGGTTGGAAAATGTGGCTGCGAAGGTTTAGTAAGATTTCCCAGAGCAAGGAAGATACCCTGTGCTCGTTGGTCCCATATGTGGAGGATTCGGTCCTGTTCTGTTGTCCCCTGCCCAGCCACCATCCATTAGCAGCTCACAGTACTGTGAGCTTGTTACATGCCATTTAATCCTCCCAACAACCCTGTGAGGTAGGTGCTGTGACACCTATTTTAAAGATAAGGAAACTGAGGCAAAGAGAGGTTAAGTAGCTTATCCAAGGCCATGCAGCTGGTAAATGACAGTTGGGATTTGAATTCAGGTCTGTTTGACTCCAGAGCCTGCTCTCCACATCATTTCACTCTGCTGCCCCGGGTGCCAATCCCAGGGGACCCAGTTGAGGGCCACTTGGCCCCACCCAGGACACTGCATCCCTCCCAGCATCCCCCCTTTTCTACTTTGTACCCTCCCTACACTGAGGCTACCGCCTATGGCCCCTGAGCTGGCCGAGCCCAGACTGCCGAGAATGATGAGGGGACACCTGGTCCAAACTCCTCATTTTA